TAAGAATTTAGCTTGTTAACTGTTTTTGAATGTGAAAGTAGGAAAGAAATTGTTATTATTATTATTATTATTATTATTATTATTATTTGGCCATGCAGAAGCATGTGCTCTGGGGGGAAATGGGCAGACAGTTGAGATTGCCTGTGTCACTTGACAGAAAAAAAGATCGGGCAGATTATTATAATGGAGACACTTCTGGTTAATACCTTCTAATTCATAACACCCGCCCATATGCGATCACATTGGTGCCTCATACTAACTCTGGGAGGCATGGAGCACAGATAATAGTATGTCTATGTTAGAGATGGTAACACTGAGGCGTAGAGAGGTTAGGAGCCCAGCCAAGGTCCCGTAGCTGCAGGAGAGGGCCAGAAGCGAGCTCCCCCCTCACGCAGTGGAGACGTGGATGGTTACACTGTGCGGTGCTGTGTAAAGAGGATACTTTGGGAAATTGCTATAATAAATGGAATTATATCCTATGATTTAAAGACGTTCCATGAGGAGAGAGTGTCTGGCGGTGTCCCCCTCCACCCCAAGCTGACGTGTGCAGATCTGGGTCCCAGTGGTCATGTGTGGGCTGAAGGCTGTCTACTCTTGGCTCTAACTCTCATGACCTTTATCTGGAACTTCTTTTCAAAACAACAAATATTTTTTTTATAGAAATAGACCCATTTGTTATCTCTCTGGATCACTTCTAAAACATTTAAGCAAAACTCTTGGTAAAAGCAGCCATGCAATGTGGCTTTGCTCAACAGTTTGCTTTCCCCCCTCCATCAGCTCTGAGAAATCCCTCTCAAAATAAAGAATAAGAAACCGAAACACAGACTCAGACCCACAAGAAACTAGGACAGAATCCCCCAGCCGAGCTGTCCCTGTGCGGAAGAGGAGCACAAGATGGCGGTGAGGAAGCAGCCGAGAGCCTGTGCATTAAAGGGGAGAAGGGGAGGCCAGGGTGAGGTGAGGGGGTTTTGTGGGGAGCAGTTAGAACGGCCTGCTCACTTCTCCCTCTTAGACCAGACTTGTAGCAGGGTTTGCGCCCCAGCTACATCCGATGACCTAAGGGGCTTTAAAAACGCTGATGTCCAGGCTGGCCCCGCTCCTCCCTCCCCTCCCCTCCCCGGGCCATGTTGAGGAGAAGGATGTGAGTGCCACCCCTGGGCCCTTTCCCCCCTGCTTTCCGAGCCTGCCAGCCTGCAGAGAGCAGGTGTCCTGTCAATCTCGCCCATCTGGGGAGGCTGCCATTTTCCAGCACAGCTGAGTGGGTGCACTTAATTCCAGGGTGTCGTGGGAGGGTGCTCCCTTGGCCAGCAGACAAGGAACCGCCTTCCCCCAACAGCCTCAGCGGTGGGAAAGCTGCTGTTTGATCCCCATCTCTCTGACTCCAGCTTTTGGTTAGCTCTGCATACTTTCTCAGGAAGCTACTGGAAGACATGGCTCATCAGGGTGAGGGATAACTAAGAATAGCCAAGAACAAGGGAGACAGGAAATCCCAGAAAGGAGAGCTTCAAGGAGCACGTGGGGTTTCCAGGGTGGTGGTGGTGGGAAGTCCAAGGACAGATTTATGCAGCTTCCAAGGAAACAGTCTAGCTGGGGCCAGGGGGCCCAGAGCCCAGGAAGGAGTCTCTTGGAAACAAAAATGGAGCCGGCTGGTTATCAGGTGGGTTTAGCCATGCGAAGGGGTGTGAGGGTACAGCACAGGTACAAATAAAATGAAGTAAATCCAAACATTAAGCAACTGTTAACTTTAGGACAAACAAAAAGTTGTACAAGAAAGAAAGTATAATCACAGTTTATTACTTGACTCAGCAGTGAACGATACATGGTCCTAATCATACAGATATTGAATACTAATCTAACCCAAAGTAGTGCTGTAGCAAACTATATTGCAAGAACCGTAAATCCTCAGCTACCTTAATAGGAAGACAGTAGATGATGCCGAAAGTGGATTAACCAAGACGGATTAGCTATACTTGAAAATGTGGAAGTCGCTACCGGAAGAATCAGCAAAGGCTTGAAAGTATCTAATGAAATTCAGTGAGGCTAGCGATTGTTCTTCTGACTTATCTGCTTTGTAATAAGCCTCCTAACGCTGCTTGCCAAAACAAGCAAACAGAACCCCCCAAAGAACCAGACACTCGTGTTTCGCTTTGAGAAAAACACAAATTAAGAAACCAGTCTGGGCTCCTATTCAGTTCCCAGCTCCGACCCACATCCTGAAGACGCAAGTTTAATCAATATCTGCCCCATCAACAGCCTCTGCGCCCTTGCATCTCTGCATATATCTGCCCCATCAACAGCCTCTGCGCCCTTGCATCTCTGCATATAACCAAGCTCTGCGCCTGTCACACACACAGTTAGAATGTGTCGTCAATAATAAAAACAGTTAGTTGTATACTGGGTTGTAGGAAAAGTCATGACGCATTTTTGCAGCGAAAACCAGAAAAAATACGTCATGACTTTTTCAACAACTCAATACTAAGAATTCTGTTGTATCCTTAATAGCAGCAAATGCACTTCTCTTTGCTTATTTCTGATGAACGGCGATTTGAGTTTGATTCTAGTTAGGAAACAAGCGAATTCCAGCATCTGTAATTCATGTCACCTTGAGTGAGACCCCTGCTGAGTTCTTCACCTAGCAAGGCAGTGCTTGGTCCACATCAGCTCACGTGGAGCACCCTGGATCCCCAGAGCCGTGTAGCAGAGTCTGGGTACACGTTCGGGGGTTTTAGCCACATCTGTGCTAAACTTGATTCCGATTGTCAGGGTTTTAAAAACGAAGGTTCTATAGTGTGAATTTTCAAGCATATTTCAATACTAATGTGTACTTACTTCCATCTACCTCCAAAGGGGTCTTGAGGCAGTTTACAGTAAAATAATAATAACAAAAACCAGTAGGAATTGTAGCTTTATTCATAATTGCCAAAAATGAGAAGCAACCAAGACGTCCTTCAGTAGGTGATGGATAAAGAAACCGTGGTCCATCCAGACAGTGGAATATTATCCAGCGATAAAAAGAAATGTGCTGTTAAGCCACAAAAAAGACATGTTGCTTGCAGTGGAGCCTCAAACACATCTTTCTAAGCGGAAGAAGCCAGCCTGAAAAGGCTACCTACTGTATAATTCAACCGTGTGACATTTTGGAAAAGCAAAACTATGGAGACAGCAGAAAGATCAGGGTTGCCAAGGGTTATGGGGGAGGGACGAATAGGCGGAGCTCGGGACTTTTAGGGCAGTGAAACCACTCTGTATTGTGCTGCCATGGTGGATAGGATACATGTCATTATGTGTTTGTCAAAACCCTGAGAACACAATACAAAGAGTGAACACTGATGTAAACTAGGGGCTTTAGTTAATAATAATGTATCAACCCTGGGTCACCAATGGCGACAACTGTACCACACAAATGCAAGATGTTAATAATACGGGACGCTGTGGAGAGGGAGGGGAGGAGAGGAAGCAGACGGGAACTCCGTATTTTCTGTTCAGTTTTCCCTGTAAACCTAAAACTGCTCAGATGAATGAATGAATGAACTCACTTAAAGAACCGGTATCTCGGTGAAGCCCAAAACCATTAGAATAAGAATGAAGCCACAGGTACGGTTACACTGGAGTGCTCAGGGTAAGAAAAGGCAGTCAGTGGAACACAGACCTTCATTCTGGATTCTCACTCAGGCAGGTCCAAGCGGATAGGTTACATCCAGCGCATTGTCTGCAAAAAGGAAATCGACCAGTTTGTTGGGAGACATAGGCCAAGTTGGAGATGAACCTGTCCCACGGTTTTTATTCCTGAGGGACAGACAGCATAACGGGTGATGACCTTGATTGGACTTTTACTAGAAGTCCTACATATGTATTACCTTTTCATATCAACCCCCTGATGTAGGAAACCAGGGAGGGCCTGCTGGTGCATCACGTTAAAGCCGGCTCTGTGGGGTAGGGTGGAGTGAAGGATGGAGACATGCCTCTCCCGGGTGGGTGCCTATCATGATCCAATTCCATGAATATTCATTTCCCCTCAGCTTCCAAGTTGAGTCAAGGCTGGGCCAGATGTAGCGTGTATCCTTATCTGCTCTTTTTGTTTTTTAAAGGGTTGCTTTGGAAATCAATGCACAAGCAGTGTTCTTGTTCTTATAGATTTAGAGCTTTCAGATACACCCCTCATATTCCCTTCCATGCATTAGCCCAGGAAATCCTGATACCTTAGACGTTAGCACTGAAGGGACTTTGAAGAACAGGGGTCTCCCTCATTTACAGATGAAGAGGTCCAGACAGGGTAAATGCTTTGTTCAGGGCCCACAGCTAGTTAACACCAGAGCTTGTTCAAAGGCCAAAGGCGCTGGTTGATATCAGTTAAGTGACATGCCTGACCCTTCCACTCACATCAAATTACCACCCTGGGTCAGGCCGGATTCTAGGGCACTCATTATGATGTCGGGCGGGCGGGGGACACTGCTGAGAAGCAGGCGACCATGTGACTGCCTCCAGCAAGGCTGCCCGATTGCCACCTGGGCGACGACACCATCCTACTCAGGCAACCTGCCCGCCCTCGGGAAGGCGTGTGTGATTGGGGCCTGCAGGTGTGCGCAGCCACATAGGAAGCCCCGTTTCGCAGGCTGCCTGCTGGCCGAGGTGTGGAGATGGTGCCGGGTTAAGGTTACTAGTGCAAAGGACCCGGGGATTCTGATCCCCCCACCCTCTCAACCCTTCCCCCACCAGCCCAAACACCAACAGCAGCTTTCTAGAATTCAGCGTAAAAGGAAAATCTGGCCACGCTTCCTGCTGACCTGAATACTAAGTCATGTGTGTGCTTGGCGGGGGAGGGGCGGCCAGTGCTCTGTCAGCAGAACCCCAGATGTGGGGACCAACCAGGCCCTTTGCACTCTGTGGCCCAGCTGACATTCCTGGTGGGTGTGTTTATTTTGTTGTCTTGAGCACAGCCCCCACTGGGGGCACTTTTGGTTTGATGATGGTTCAAAACATTTTTTTTGTTTTGTTACTAGGATGAAGGTGAAGCTATGTGAGTGACTCCTAAGGCGAAGGGCTCAAGCCTTGTAGTGTGAATTCTCCATCAGTGACCTTCCCGCTGTTTTATCTGAAGACGGCTGACTCCGATGGCGGAACTGCTTTCTGACAGAAGCTCTAGAGGAAACGAATGCCTGGGTTGTCTTCATCCCTCCAGGACAAAGGACTTGTTCGCAAGCATCTCCGGCTGCTGGTGGGCTGAGCTGCCGTTGAGTGATGGAGCATGGCTGCCCCATGCGTGGCATCTCCACGGCTGCCCGTTCCGGGGACTCAGTGCCCAGGCAATTATTACTGGAGTGCTTGCTCTGTTTCAGGACTGACAGCCCAGGAAAAAGGCATCACATAAATGCAGAGGTCACCTTGCAAAAACTAAACCCACGTTGAATGTTAAATAGTCCCATTGTCAGAAGTGAGAACTCTAAATTGCATTTTTATCGAAACAAAAACAAAAGGTAGATGTGATTCCACTTTGCTCTCTGAGGTCTCCCATTTCTTTAGATGAGGAGGGAAGACGTTTGTCTTTGTGCTACATCTTGGACACGGGTTTGTTTTCTTAAAGGGAAAGAGCTGGACTATATGCACAGTCAGAAAAACATTTAAATTACGCATTTATTGCAAAGTAGAAATATTCTTACAATAACAGTAAGTAAAAAGAGGAACACAGGGTAAAAAGGGGAAAAGCAGTAAAGGAACATAGTCCTTGCTTATTAGAAGGAAACAACCTCATCCATCTGACACTTATCCCGGGAAGACAAGGTTTGGAGAAATTTGCGTCCTAGGCCCTGATAAGGACCAGTGGATCCCCCTTCCATCTTTTTAAAGAGCCCACCTGGTATTCCCCAACGCAGTTTACTGTGTCCAGGTGGTTTAAAGATTTTTTTAAGGCAACGTGGGTTTTGCAATGAGGTTTATGCGGCATGAACTCGCGGGCCGCTTGTTGCGTGCTGTGCTCTGCATCTGCTCTGTCCCCAGCCAGGCCTTTCTGGTTCCTGGAAGCCCTAGAAGAGCTGGAAGCTGGAGGCAATGGCCTGGTTGCCCAGTCCTGACAGGAACAATTGGTTTCAGTCGCCGCCTGCCTGGGAATGTGGTTTGGTGGAGGAAGAGAGGGAGGTGGGCGGGCGGGGTAGGAGGCCTCTGGAGCCAGCCCTCCGAGGGCCAGAGAGCCCCCCCACGCTCCCCTCCCCTTTCGCTCTGCCTCCATCCCCGTGGCCTCAGAGCAGCTGCTGCCCTGGTCTTCCTCTTGGCTGGCCTTACCGCCCCCCCCCCCCCAGTCCTCCATGCCCAGGCCTCCGACCACCGTCATCGATGTAGGTTCATACGTAACCGACTGCATTGTAAGGAAGCTCTGGGGGTTCACAGTGGAGGAATCGTATCTGGAGGTTGGGTTTCTCTCTCACAAAGGGGGTTCCCTCTGTTATTCCAGCACGAGAATGCTAGTCCACGCAGCATCGGGTTGGATGGCTGGGTTAGGTTTCGCTGTCGAGAAGGGAGGTGCTGAGCGGTTGGCACAAATATTCAGTGTGCTTGATGTGGTACAATGGGAACTAGATACTTGGTCTGTGTCCCGGGTTCCTGGCACACAGCCCCTAAAGCCCTCGGAATCTCTGGAGTGATAAGAGCGTCTTTTGTGTGCCAGTGAAATGACTGGTGGCTGGGGGCGCCTAGATAGCTTCAGGACGGGGCTGGTGGCCAGAAGACCAAGGCGCAACTAGAGGGTTGGAACTTTCAGCCCCCCCGCCACCCCTACCTCCAAAGAGGGGAGAGGAGCTGGAGATTGAGTTACTAATCGATGGCCAAAGATTTAATCCGCCGTGCCTGTGTAATGAAACCTCCTGAAAAACCCTACCCAAAGGGACTCAGAGAGCTTTAAGGTGCTGGGAGGGTTGTGCGCCCGCAGAGGGCATAGAAGCTCCACACTCATTCCCTGCACTGCCCTGTGCATTTCCTGCATTTGTTTGTTCCTGGGTTGTATCCTCTGTAACAAACCAATAGTTCTGTGAGCTGTTCTAGCAAATTGTCACCCCTCGAGGAGGGGGTCAAGGGAACCCCTGATTTATAGCCAGTCTGTCTGAACTACAGGTGGCATCTGAAGTCAGGGTAGCCTGGTAGGACTGAGCCCTAACCTGGGGGGGTCTGA